TTAAAAAAAGAGTAGATAGAGGGGCTGGAGAGATGGCTCAGTGGAATAAGTGCTTCCCTAGCAAGCACAAGGGCCTGAGTTCAATCCCCGGTTCCGCCAAAAAAAAAAAAAAAAAGTAGATGGTACATAAGTTAAACAATTCCCGGTGCTTCTTGTAGTCTTGGTTTATGAATTTGAGAAAGATGGCTCTATGTGTGTTTGTGTGGAGAAGTTGGCCATGGTTATGCGTGTCACCACTTATGTGTGTGACCCCCACTGTGCTGAGAAAAGCATTTCTGAGGCAAGCTGCCAAAGGAGTAAACACATAGCTCAACACTGAGCTTCCCAGTTGCAAAGCAAGAAGGGAGAAGAGAGGGTCCCTTTTAATACTTGGTTTGTATACGCCCTCGGGGCGTCCTCTGAGGCTTCCCTGCTCCGGAGCTCGCTGCCACCTGGACAGGGCCGCGGACAGCCCCTTCCGGAGGTGCTGGCCGCTCCCTCGGGACACGCTCGTGTCCGCCCCCAGCGCGTGCTGCTACAAGCGCGAGCCACAGGGATCGCTGCTAGGACTCGCAAGTTTAGGAAGGGGAGCTTTGCACGGAGAGATTAAGCGAATGATCGAGAGACCGGAAGGACTGCCTTCTAGCTTTCTGAAAAAGACACAGAGGAAAAAATCAAACGGCAGATTAGAGTGTTCCAACTAGGTTGTTTCGGGCTTTAAGTATGTGTGCTCCTGGGGGTACCCCCGTGGGGCCCCCAGGCTCGGTTCCCTCCGTGTCTCGGGATGGGAGTGTTCTCCTGCCTGGCCTGCGCTAGAGAGCAAGCCCCTGCCCAGGCACCGGGTGCCCAAGCCCTCGCGTGCGCCTTCCCAGATGGGCGTGAGTTCCGATTCACGCCCAACCTGGCGGTGGAGGAGGCTGGGTAGCTAGAAAGCGTCTCACCATTTCCAGTAACGGTAACAGCCACCGGAGCAGAGGAGAGCTGCCCAAACTGTCCCCTGGCCTCGGACACACGCACAGCATGAGCGGTCAAGCAACGAGAAATCCGAAAGGCCGTTCCAAAAAGTCGTTTAAAATAAGGCCTCAAACCATCGCGTAACTGCCAAACAAGTCAAGAAAGGAGTAAAAGTGAATTCAGCACCCACCGTAGAGACGCTTAGATGCAGCAAATACAAAACAGAACTGCAGGGCGCTGCCTACAGCAACGGGAGCGCCCCATGGAAAGCCTAATACGAGACGTCGCCGTCTTTCCTGCTCTCAGCGTTTAACACAACCAACAAAAGCCCCACACAGCTGGCAAGCAGCACTGGATGGCCATTTCTGATCACCGAGAATGAATCACAATCCAGCATCCGCTCAAAATACTGAGGGGCACCATGAAACAAATGGAAACTTTGCCCTTGGCAGTTTTCTCTTCCGGACCTCCCAAATGAGACCAGAGAACTGTAACTCCCAACCTGTTGGATGTCAGATGTGCCATTTGTGTCCCATGAAATTAAAAAAAAAAAAAAAAAAGAGTTTCAAGGAACAAAGGAGGCTATGACCAAGGAAGGCGAGCGAGACAGCTCCCGGGAGAGGAGGGGTACCCACAGCGGGTGCCACCAGGGCCCCTGCCAGGGGCACACACTGGAACACTGTCGATCATAGTACGATCAACCAGTAAGGTCACCAGCATACCTGCTTAGCTGACATCGAACCAGGAAGGGAGCGGGGCATGTGACGTGGCTGATCTACGACTTTTTTTTTTAATTAGGCACAGGTCTCACTCTGCAGATCGGAGTCCCGGTGATCTTCCAGTTCTTACCCAGCCTGTGTCACCCACTGAGTGCATCCCAGGGGAAGGGCTGGCAGGGCATGTGGGACCAGGTTTTGGTCCCTGCGCTTGCCAAAGCAGGCACTTAGTCCGCTGAGCCGCCTCGCCAGGGCTTGGACTACGACTGCTAAAATAGGAACATGTGGCGGAAGTGGCGAGCCAGGAAGCGGTCAGCGAGGCGGTGCCTCCTGCGGCCTCCTGGCTCCTGGCTGCTGCGTTAGCGAGTGAAGTGTGGGACCGAACGCTGTGGGCATCTGGGAAGAGTGTGCACAGCAGACAGCCGAGCAGGGCGAAGTCCCTCGAGCGCGAGCCTGCTTAGCTCGGCGGGCGGACAGCAGCAGGGCCCAGGGTGCGGGGCGCAGAGGGAGGGGAGAGGGGAGAAAGGACATCTAGGCAAGCCTGAGAAAAAGGAACCTCCTCCTCCTCCTCCTGAGCCACCGCTTTACAGCACTTTACAGGAACAGCACTTCGGGAAGCCGAGGGGAGCCCACAGTCTCAACCGGCTGTGGGGAGCAACCGCCGCTGGAGATCCATCAGTCGCGTGTGCTGCTAAGACAAAGCCGACAGAGAACAGGGAGAGAGCAAGGCAAGCCAGGCAAGCCAGGCAAGCAAGCTGTTACGGCTCCCAATAGAAAGTTGCAGCCAGGGGTGGGGAGACAGCCCAGAGGCACGAGCGCCTGCCTGGCAGGCACAAGGCGCAAGGTCCGGAGCTCGATCCCCAGTACCCTGGGCAGCCCTTCTTGGCCAGAACAGGGTGTGGTGGCACACACCTGCAAGTTCGAGACCAGCCTGGGGGATACAAAATTGAGTACAAGGCCAACCTGAACTGCATAGCAAGACCCTGTCTCAAAAAAAAAAAAAAAAAAGAGTTGCTAGGCAGAGGGGCCAAAGTTGCCATCAGCCTCCTGAGAGTGTACATAAAGGTGAAGGTAGACGGCAGTTGCGCAGTTCCTTTCCTCGCAGCCCAAGAGCGCTCCACCCGACCTCAGCTTTCTCTTTATTTCTCCACCCTCTTGCCATCCCCCACCCCAAACTTCCAGGGCTGTGCTGGATAGGGCACCCCGACATGCCCTCCAAGCTCTACTTCAGTACGGTAAGGCTCTGAGGGTCAGAAGAGAGCCCGTGTCAGCAGCTCTCTAACTGTGCAGATTCTGTGATCATGTGTGGCCTTTCATGCTGAATGATGCTGAATTCAGAGGGTGGCAGAACTCACGGAAGCGGACAGAGTGAAAACTGTAGCACGCAGTGATAGATACTGGCTCCATACTACAGAATGAATAGGAGAGCTGGCTTTTGTTTTTACACCATCCCCTGCTATTACTCATTCTTTTTTATGTATTTAGCACAGGGTCTCACTATGCAGACCAGACTCGTAGTGATCCTCCTGTTTTCAGCTCCTCCTGTAATCCAGGCGCTGGGATAACAGGCCTGCGCTACCACGCCCAGCCTCAGTTGCATCTAAGCCTGCCACAGGGGCGGGGCCGGCACGGTGGGTGTGCGAGGGATGGAACGCCTGTTCATTGCTTTTTGAAGAGAAGCGTGGAAGATACTTCTTAAAAATTTAATCTAGCATTGTTAAAATGACTACACAGTGCTGTACTATCAGAGAATTCTGGAGGGAAAATGCTTATAACTCTATCCTTTTACATTATCCTTTATTGTAAAGCATGGAGAAACAATCAGTTTAAAAAATGACAAATCAGGGGCCAGCCAAATAGCTCCATGGATTAAGCAGGTTTGATCCCCAGGCCTGCTGTGCCGACCCCACCCCCAGGGTATGCTGAGATGGCAATTGAGACTGGCATGGTGGCACGTGCCTGTAATCCCAGCTCCCAAAATAAAAAAGACAAATCAAGATTATAGTCCTCCTGAGAACATTCTTTAATAATTCAGTTTTAAACCAAAAAAGCACATTTTGGAAAGGGATGTGTCTGCGGGATCCACTTACCCACCTACTGCCTGATGCGTATCTGGAGTAATGG